CTTTTTCTTGTAATAATATAAAGTGAATAGCTGGTTTTCTTAATTAGTTATTTGGCAAATACTAGCTTTATATTATTAGAATTTAAAGGCCATATATAGCTATTTATAGTCTGATTATTAAGGTTTTTCTTCTTCTGATTATGCTTTATAAACATTTCTAAGTTTTAAACTTTAATAATACTTGTATAGAATAAGCATTTTGTTATATCTGATTTGTACAGACTGGACAGTAGGATTAGTTTAAAAGCTAGTTCTATTGTTGTATCTTATAATGTTTAGAAGGCTATTGAATTTAAATTCCACTTTTATATATTTATTTCTTATTTTTGTTTATTTTTATTTATTTTATTTTCTTTTAAATAAAAGATTTTTTACTCAATATTCCTGCATTTAAAATTACTATAGCTTGTTAGTTTTTAATAAATTTTATTACAATATAACTCTTTTTTGATTCTTCTATTTATATTATTGCAAGAGACTTATATTTAAATCTCTTAATTTTTATTATATGTATTTTTTAAATCTTTTACAAATATATTTAAACTTTTTTTGTTTATATTTGTTAGTAAATTTCAGATTGTTATATATTTTAGGCTTTGTGTTTTTTTTATTAATATTTGTTTGGTCTTTTTTTTAGCTTTTTCATGTTCTTTTTCTATTCATATTTCTTTTTTTTAACTTTGGCATATTGATTTCTTTCTTTTTGATATTTTTTATCATATTTTTTTGTTTTTCTTTTTTGTCTATTTTCTCTTTTTCTGCTATCATCTTGTATCATTTACTCTTTTTTTTGTTAATTCTTTATATTGCTTCATTTTTGTTATACTTATAGTTAAAATCTATTTTTATTTATAAATCTATTTTTAAAGACTTATTTGATATTTTTGGCATATTTATTATTCTTTAATGACTATCTAATAAAGTTTATATATATTTTTTAATCTTTTTAGATATATTATATACTGATATATTTGCAAATAAACTGTTGTTTTGGTTATAGTCTTTTTTATTAAAGTTTATATATTTTTTTTAAATGGTATTTTTATTATATTAAATTTTTTTTGTTTTTTTATTTTTTTTTTCTTATATTGTTAAATTCTTTTTTTATTTTTTTTGTCTATTTTTACATCTTATTTTTATTTTTTTATTTGTTCTTATTTTTTTTTTGAGTAAATAATTCTATTTTTATTTAATTATTATATTTTTGTTTTATTTTTATACTTATTTTTTTTTTGCAATTTAGTACTTGCTAATAAATTTTTGTTAGGTTCTTTATTTTTAATTTTTTTTTGTATCTCTTTGTTTGGTCCTTTTATTTTTTTCTTATTTCAGTTATTTTCTATTGTTTCTTTTTTTCTTCTATTTTTATTTTATTCTAAATTTGCTTTACAAGATCAAATTTCTTTTTTGGTTACTTTTTTTCTGCTTTTTTTAATATTTTTTTTGTTATTTACAGAAAAAATATTTTATTTAGATCTTGCTTTGTAAATAATATAAAAATACTATTTTCTTTATTAGATATTATATGTCTTATTTGCTTTATTAAAAAAGATTTTATAATATATATTGTTTATTGTTTAATATGCTTTTCTTGTAAAGATTGTATTAAGACTTTTTTTATATTTTTTTAATGAACTTCTATTTATATTATGCAATTGTTTTTAGATGTTTTTGAATTATATGTTTATCTGAATTTAACTAGTTTAATATACATATTTGTTTGTTTACTTTACTTATTATATTATTTTTTTTATATAACTTCAAGGATTTATAAAACAGAATTATAGTAATTCTTTAAGATTTTTATAAAATTTTTTATTTACTGTTAAAGATTCTTTATACTTTGTTTTCTGTTATTTTTATATTTTCTTTTTTGTATCTTTGTTTTAAACTAGATATAATTTTTGCTGTTCTATCTTTTTTATTAAAAGCTTGAGTAATGTGATTATTGAGTTTTTAATGTTTTGTTTCTTGACAATTTTGGTTAAAAGATTTACAAAGAAGAGTGTTAACAATTATTATTTTGTTATTAATGTTATATAATATTAATTTTTGTTTATATATATATATTTTGTGTTTGCTAATATTTTTATTTTTTTTAAACTGCTTTTTAATAATTGCTTAACTTTTATTTTTATTTTTTTTTTCTTTATTTTTAAAAACATCTTTTTGTCTTTTTAAAATTTTTGTTTAAATATAAAGTATTTTTTTGTTTTGGTTTAAAATTTGTTTTTTGTATTTGTAAAAAAAAATATTTAAAAAGAATTGATTGTTTTTTAAAAATTTTTAAATATTGTAAAGTATTTTATTAATTTTTCAATTGTTTAATTTTGATATTTTTTACAATGTTTTTTTGAAAAATTTTTATAATCAATTTTTTTGAAAATATTTATATTTTGCTAATATATAACAACAGTGATATTAGCACTACTGGTATAATTTAATAAAATTGTTTATTATTTACTAATTCTGAACGTACCTATATATTCTAAACGAAACATGTCAAAAAGATATCCAATACCAACTTTAGTAATCTTTTTACAACAGTTAACTGATTTCAACATTTGATTTTAGTTTTTAATCCAAAAACTTTAAAATTTATCCCGATTCAGGTAACCATCATTTACAAAAATTTTAAACATTTAGTTTCTACGTTAAAAATCAAATTGAAGACTTTCAGGTAGACTTAAAGGTTACAAAAAAAAAAGAGATTATTATTAAAAGTTGAATTAATATCATATGTTTCTGTTTTACAATATATTTAAAACATACGGTCACTATTACGAACCAATTATTTTCTATACCGAACTAATATTTAAAGATTTATATACCCAAAACACGTTATAGAAAGAGTTAACCATACCTATTGATAATTATTTGATTGCTAATTCACTTAAAATAATAAAACAGCCCAACCAGCCATCATTAAGATACCACCTAAAGGAGTTATAAGACCTAATCTAGATTTTGATTTTAGTTTATTCCAAACTAAGAGATAGATACTACCAGAAAACATAATAGTACCCGCAGCGATTAGACTACCAGCCAATACCGGTGGTTTGTTTGTAACAGGGTTTCGCAAATTTGAAAAAGAAATAAGCGCAACAGAGTGAATTAATTGGTAATAAGTTGCTACTTCCCAATTCTAAAAAATAAGAAAAAAAAAAAATTTTAAAATAAAAATTCAAAATCGAAATCTTTTTTTGTATGAAACAACAAGTATGTTAAATTTTTACGGATCGATCTATGTACGTATGTACCTTTAATTTATCAGAATTTTTAATTTTATGCGCACCTAGAAAATTCCACATTAATATTTCGTAAAATAGGTTACATGATTATTTATAATGAAAAAGACCCTTACCGTATGCGCCCAACGCAATTCCTGAAACACCTATTCAAAAAATTAAAGCTTTGGTTAATAAACGCTCTTTGAACGTAAAAAAAATTCAATAGATTACCTAGAATTGCACCAATGTTCCAAAGATTTTGTGGCGTAGCCATTGGAATAAATAAGGACAAAAACGAAAACATTTGAATCTAAAGAAAGAGGTAACGATAAGCAGATTAAATATGTATATATGTATTGTTAATCGCACTGTATTGTAAATAATCTATGATTGACATTTGCACGTGATTGATCGTAAAAAATTTTAGAGTTTGATCACATAAATTCTATACATAAAATTTTATTATTGCGGTTTATTTCCTCTTTTATACATATTATCTCAACCTCTTTTTTCTTTTGACAAAGAAAAAGGTTTCAGAATATGCACGTACATACGTAGATAAAATCGATAAAAATATTGAGGCAAGGATTTACTGCAATGCAATATGTTCTTTAGTAGCGGAACGGGGTGGGAAAGTGAGGTCCACTGACTAAATGTCACGCTCGTGTTACATGTCGCTTAACATTTGCATTATCGTTATCAAACCCATCGGTACAAAGATCATTCTAAGGAATTTAAGGTGATATTTATAAACCAAGTTAGTGGTTGCAATAAAAAGCCTTTTTCACGACCCTTTAACACATACTTTTCTAAACGTCTAATAACAAAATAAAAATGGACGCTTTTAAAGAAAGATTAATGTATTTTAATGCTCAAGCTGACAAAGAGCTCTCAAAGTATCCACAATTGGTCGGCTTGGAACGACAAACTAATGTTCCAAAAACTTATATGGCTGCTGGCGTCGTAGCATTTGTATTTACATTGATATTTTTCAATGTTTGGGGAGAATTACTTTCCGATATTATCGGCTGGCTTTATCCAGGTATGGACAGAGAACGTAGCAGGAACTTACATGCGTGACAAATTGTCTAACTTGGCGACTATTTTGAATATAGCTTATGCTTCATTTAAGGCTATCGAAAGTCCAGAACCCTCAGACGACGTTCAATGGCTTACATATTGGTAAAGAGCTTTTTTAAATAAAATTAAAAATATCCAGAATTTATGTTGACGTAGTCTCAATGTAATAATTACATGATAAGTAATATTTCGTCATGCTGATTTAAACATTATATCATATTTTATTTTAGGACCGTGTACGGATTTATCAATATGATTGAATTCTTTTCTGATGTTATACTCTATTGGGTCCCGTTCTATTTCCTCTTCAAAACTCTCTTTTTCCTTTGGTGAGATTTTAATTAAAACATAAATGATCAAGGAAAAATTGGAAACAGTCAGAATTTTTAAAGTCACTATTCCCAATTTTTCCCTTGGTGTCACTTCATTAATCCAACTTATTAACATTAAATTTTTCGTATTTTCCGTATTTTCCGCATATTCATTATAGGCTTTTCCTTCCTCCTTTCAAAGGTGCTCAACTTATTTATTCCAAATTTTTAAGACCAACTCTCATGTCGTACCAAGGCGAAATTGATAAGAACATAAATAAATGGAAAAATAAACTCGAAGATGTAGCAAAAGATGCTGCTCAAAACGCAATTGAAGCTACTAAAACGGAGAAATCGGAATAAATGTATTTATAAATGGTTTTGTGTGCTTTCCCAAAGCTCAGAATGTTAATTATTTTTACATTTTTTGTAAGTTATTTTAAATGTTTTATATTTAAATATTTTTGACGTTCACAATATTTTACATGGGTATAAAATATTATTTAAAGTATTTGATCACTTTTTTTTATTGGTCTTTTTTTTTTCTCTCTGTAAATTTCATGAAACGAAATTAACGATGTCTAGTTCAAATATTTTGTGTAATATTATTCATTGTTGCTAGTTCTAAGGTAGATAATGTATTACACAAATTCAATATGGGGTACATCGATATAAATATTGATAAATATTCAACTCGTTTTGGCAAAATAATTATTGGTGTTTATTAACAAAAATTATAGTGTTTACTAATGTTATTATGTATCCGGAGCGAAGCGGAGGACATTATTTTACTAAATGATCAACAATATTTCCATGATTATGACACGATAATCAATCAGTCACATAATAAAGCTTCAGACACTTAATGCTACGCATCACTTTGTAAATATGATGATAAAAATTCCGATATCGATATACGAAATCTTCTCTAATTACCATTTATATGCCTTTAAAATACAACTAAAAAATCTCGTTAGCCAATCAAATTTCGAGATCAGATGTAGCGTGAAAAAAGTTCAAGAAACTAAAACAATCCAAAAATCGAAATTTTGTCTATGAAACTGATTTACAAAAAGTTTTCTTACAAAATTTTAACCCTCTAAACCTAACCTACTTGCAATACCCTAACCTAATAGCGAAATGTTTTTTCTTAGCGAAACTTTTTTTTTCTTGATTTTGCAATAAGATTACATGATGTGCGAACTTTTTTTTCCTGGTGTTACGTTACTACGTGGTCTAATTGTTTATATCGATATGTATTAAGCTCTATCGCTATACTGCTATTTTGGTAAAGGTTGTACAAAGCTAATTTCATGGTCAGTTTAACATCTCTAAATATTTTTATAACTCTGGCCCTAAGAAGACCGGTCTATTAATGTTTTTCAGTCCAGTCCCAATAACGGTCCTCAATTATTTAAACCTCTAAACATCTTATTGACTAGCGCATGAGGACTGGCTTAGACTAGTCTCAAGACCGGTTAACCCCATCCCTAACTCTAACTTACAGTATTATTAAGAAATCAGGTATGCAGTAATGATCATTTTAGGTTATATTCAATTTTACATAACCAAGGTGGTCAATTTTATAAATAAGTGCGTGTGTGGGAGTGAAAACCTGCAAACCAATCATAGTAAATCATTCCAGGTTTTCACTCTCACGCACTTAAATCATATAACAGGTCATAAGGTTATAATCCAATAGGTCATAAAAGGTCATAGGGCCATTACTAAGTATTACATACGTACATATTCGATCAAATGCAAAAATATTAGAAGTTATAGTTTTCTTTAATAGATGATGGCTAACCTTTGATGTAACTAAGGTATAATATAGTACCTATATTGTACTGTATATATACTGTATATAAGTAATAATTAGGTGTTTAAATAAAGGCCCACTCATAAACCTTTAAAAAAATATACCATTTTTACTAATTTCATTCGAATAGAACGAAAATTATTATTACAGAAAAAACAATACGATAAACAACAGCACGGTAGTTCACATTTTACATAAATGTTTATTTGAACATTATTTATGTAAATTCAAATAAATTAAAATTATTTTGCTTTGACAATTGTTTTTTAGATAACTGATTAAAAAAAAAAAAAAAAAAAAAAAGAAATTCTTCACAAATTCAATAATAATTACATATAAAATTCTATTAACATTACAAGTTATGAGCATGTCTAAAGTTTTCACCAGCATAAATTGCATCAGCACCTAATTCTTCTTCAATACGTAACAATTGATTGTATTTAGCCAATCGTTCAGAGCGGCAAGGTGCACCAGTTTTAATCTGTCCAGTACGTAAACCAACCACGAGATCAGCAATAAATGTATCTTCAGTTTCTCCGGATCGGTGAGAAACCATTACACCCCATCCATTACTTTGAGACAATTTGGCACTTATTATTATATATATAAAAAAAAGAAAATTAACATATTTAGGAAAAAAATTGTAAAAAATAAAATTAAAATAGAAAATTAATCCTTACGCCTCAATAGACTCACTAACGGTACCAATTTGATTGACCTTTAACAAAAGAGCGTTACAAGCCCTTTTAGCTATGGCGGTATTAATTCTACTAGGATTAGTGACAGTCAAATCATCACCAACAATTTGGATATTGGTCGAATTATTAAGAATACTCCAAGAAGACCAATCATCTTGATCAAATGGATCTTCAATAGAAACGATAGGATATTCTTGAATAAAGTCTTTATATAAATTAGCAAGATCTTTACCAGATAACCATTCCGATTTATCAGAATTTGAATTTTTAAAATCTAAATCATATGATCCATCTTTATAAAATTCTGAAGCAGCCACATCCATTGCAATTTTTACTTTATCAGTATAACCAGCTTTTTTAATAGCATCTTTAAGTAATTCAAGACCTTCTTTGTTGTCTTGTATGTTTGGAGCGAAACCACCTTCATCACCAACATTAGTAGCGTCTTGACCATATTTTGATTTGATAACAGATTTCAAAGAATGATAAACCTCAGATCCAATTTTCATAGCTTCAGTAAAAGAACAGGCACCAGTCGGTAGAATCATAAATTCTTGCATAGCGAGTTTATTACCAGCGTGAGAACCTCCATTGATCACATTGAAAGCGGGTACAGGAAGAACATAAGGTTTTTTACTTCCAGCGAGATCAGCTATGTGGGCGTAAAGTGGAATGCCCTATGTAGAAACATTATTGTAACATTACCTTGTTAATAAATTATGAAGATCATGAATAATAAATATCTTATAAGAATTTTACCTTTTCAGCGGCACCAGCTTTAGCGACCGCAAGAGATACACCAAGAATTGCATTTGCACCAAGGTTTGATTTATTTGGAGTGTCATCCAACTTTAAGAGAAATTTATCGACGGTTTTTTGATCCTTAACATCCAAATTGGCTTTTATAAGTTCAGGAGCAATACAATCGTTAACATTGGAAACAGCTCGTGATACACCTAAAAAGTACGCATATATTAAGTGAAATTATTTCAAATGGACGAACAGAAAATATTGTAAATTATCGTTTTTATTTTACCTTTGCCAACATAGTCTTGTTTTATTCCGTCACGTAATTCCAAAGCCTCATGAATTCCAGTGGAAGCACCAGATGGTACGGCAGCTCTAAAAACGCCTGAATTTTTAAAATTTTAAAAATAAAGTTATTAAAGGAAATGACACGAGATAAGAAAAAATGAATAATTAAATGGTTTAATTAATACCTTTATCTGTTACAAGATCAACTTCGACTGTTGGGTTACCGCGAGAATCAAAAATTTGACGAGCGTGAACTTTAACGATAACCATTTTTTATTTTTTATTTAAAGCACGTAAGTACGTATTTTATGTATTTATGTACTTATGCATTAGATATATATCAGATATCATATAATTTTATACCTTCTTTGAGATCATCAAGAATGGTATGAGTGGTGTGTAACGAATAAGATTGAAAATCTATCGCTATCGTATCGACTGATGTTTTAGAGTCAATTTCGGCTTAACACGATAAACAAATATGTCATTATTTGTTCATGAATTACTTATACAAGTTGAATTTCATGATGAATATAGCACAAGATCATCATACGTAGCAGAATTTTAAATCTATAATTACAAAAAACATAATTTCGATATCGGATACGTATAGATATATCAATTATATATATATATGTATATATATATGTGTATTTTATATATATATAATAAATATATGTACTGTATATGTGTTTAAAATCATAAATATTTTACGTAATAAACTAAATAAATTATATACAAGATGACAAACAGGAAATGCTACCAAAAAAAGATAATCAAAATGTATATTGAGTTGTTTTTCACGCAGAATTGGGAAGAAACATGGCAAGAATATCAGAAAGAGTGATAACACCAATAGGTACATCATCTTCATCAACGACCCAAGCACGATGAGTTTTGCTAGTAAGGATACCGGCCATAACTTGACTTAAAGTGAATTTACCATGACAGGTAAATGGTTTAATTAAAGCACCTTTACAAGACACCAAAAACATAATTACTGGTTTCTTCAAATCAGAAAGTCGTTCTCTATTCAATCCTCGAAGATCCGCGGCAGAAACTTCACTAACAATAGTTCCATCATCATTAACAACAGCTACAGCACTAACTTCATCTTGGTGAATCTTTCGAAATGCCGTCAAAGCTTGATCATGAATGGTAACCGATGATGGTTGTTTCAATAAATTCCGTCTTTCAAAAGGTAAATTTTCATTCACTCTAATAGCTTTACCGACAACATCAGCAGCCATAGTATCCAAAACTTTACCTAGCCGATGATTATTTTGAAACAAGAATCGAACAACATCGGTTTGAGATATGAAGCAAGGTTGAACCTCATCTTCATTAATAACTTCTCCAACATCTGGATCTTCAACTGAAGATTTATCAGCGACCAATACTCGATGAATTTGACGATGAGTGAATAAATCCAAGAGATCGGCAAGAGAATCTTCGGGATGACATATAGTAAGATGTGTACTCTCAGGGGTTAAACCGATAAGTTCCCCGATTGGTTTTTGTAATAAGGAGGATTTTCCATCCAAATTTATATCTCCATAATCATCTCTTCTATCATTACTATTTTCATTTCCATCAATATTATGTCCGTTCACATTGTCAAATTTGTCAAATATGGGCTACATAAAATTTCGAAAGGAAGTAATTTGAATATCTCGAGTTTATTGAATTTCTAAGTTATTTGAATTATCCTTTTTTTTTCCTCAAAAAAAAAAGAAAAAAAAAATTTAAATAGATAACCAAAATGAAAAAAATACCTGTGGACACACAAAAGCAACAAGGTCTGTTACGTTGACGATTGCTACAGGTCGCTTGTGCCCTTTCCAGAGTCGGTAAACAGGTATGCTTAAAATATTTTCCGCTAGTAATACATCAAAAACTTCCTCTATTGTCGCTGTTATCGGTATTTCAATAAGAGTTTTTGCGTCTTGTTTAGAGTTTCTAACAGCTCCCACCGTTTGCTCTTTCACGAAACTTATATGTTGAGATACAGAATACATCGTATTTTTTATAATTTCAAGAGAAAGAAGAAGTTTTCCAATGTAATGTGAATTAAACCGACTTTTATATCTGCGATTTTTTAAATGGTAATCTGTGAACTACAATCCCTATTGTTATCTAGCTTCAACATATAAAAAAAAAAAAAAATGATATAAATGATAATGATATAAGTGATAGGAGGACCCTTGTCTGTTTGTTTTGTAGGTGCATCCGCATGAAGAATGATCTTCCTGTGACATCATTGTCTATTAATAATTTCGGAAATTTCTTTGGGAATATGAAACATTCGACATTTGTTCTTAAATACTGTCAAACTTCTATCTCTTACTATTTCTTCTACGGTGATTTCATTACCAATCATTCGTCGCTGTTTAGATCCAGTATTTATCCAATCAGATTATGTTCATATTAATATTTTTATAATAAATTATTTTACTATAAACGATAAAAAAATTACCTTGGATTCTTCTACAAACATTTGATTCTTTAGATCGTTATCATACGGATCATCTATCAGTGCTTTTTGCTTTTTTTCTAATTCCTGATCTATAATCTGTAAAATCAGGTGAGAAACCTTGTAAAAACCGGTTACCTTATCTGGCTTGCTTACCTTTAAACACTGATTTATAATTTGTTCTCGTTTTGAATAAGCTTTAGTCAATTGTTTAAAGAATTCTGCGCACGCTTGTTCTGAGTGTGTATCCGTTGTATTCATCCTTAAAATAATGTTATCATCTATCTTTCTATATTCTTTCATAATATCTTTTTTTAAAAAAAAATTTAGTTATTAGTATGTTAGCTGACGTTTTTTTTAACTATCAACGAAACAGCATACAATATTTGAAAATTTTTAATATTTACCTTTAAAATACGTCAAATTATAACAAGTACTATTATCAACTTCTACTTCTTTCATTTTCTTATCCTCTTTTTTCTAAGTTACGAAACTTATAACTATTAATGTTCCTTTTATATATATTAAATTTTTTTGGATTTTGAGTACGTTATGACACACGGTATCTATATATATTCGAGATTTTTTTTTTTTTTTTATCGATCAAATCTATCACGTGTCAAAATCTGAGATCTTTATCATATGCTTTCTTAAAGCCAGGTGTATTTAGAGTTACCTTTTTGATACAGTTAGAGTTAAGAATACAATTTATGCAGTATGTAGATCAATATATGAAATCTGCTCCGCTTTAAGGGGCCCATAATTTTGGGACACCGCAATGATCAACATGAGCACCCAAATTTTTGAGAGAAGATAGCTTAGCAACAACTAACTAAATTCTATCAAATTTTGGTTGGGTGATTTCCGAGCTAGTTGCTGAGCTATTTTCACTCAAAGTTATAAAGTTCATGTCGATCATTGTGGTGCTGATAAGAAGACAAGGTCACGTGCTTATGGGTCTGTGGCAATTCATCAATCCTGCACATGATCGAATTCCTTAATTAGCTAATATTCTTTCGAAACGGCCAAATCTAGTTGATTAATGGCTCGGCTGCAGGTCTACTAACTGTTTTCATAAATTTTGGGACATATGGTAAATATTCGATCATAAGTCTCAGAATTTATGAAAAAAGCAGTAAAAATGGCTCGGCTCAAAAGAATTTGAGGTATATATCATCAGTATCATTGACCAGATGATACGGATCAAATCAAGTACCCCAGTGGCACCGACAAATTTTCACTGATCGACAGCGATTGACCAAGATCATGTGTAACGTGAAATCAAAACCAAAAAATATCATTTTTTAAAAAAACCGTCGTAACTCAAAATTTTGTTTAGGTAACCATCTTCTGCGCATTAATAAAAAATATTACTTGCAAAATTTTAGTGTAATACAAGTTTCGCTATAATTATAAACCTGACCTTAATGTAACGTTTTATGATTGTAAAAAAAATTATCGATTAGTAAAAATCTATCAGTGCCACTATAGTATTAGGTGTTATATTAGCGTTAGAGTTAGGAATTATAGCTGATCAGTATCTAATTTCGATCTATACTATAATGATCTCTTATAATTTCGATCAGTATTGTAGATTCTAAAATTCAGCCTATACTATACTGATTATAATGTTGATTAGTATTTAAATTTTGGTCTATACTATACTAATTTACTTACCTATACTAACCAGAACTAAATTTAATTGGTTTTGACAAATATTATATATATAAGGTAAATGGGAGCATTGTGACCAAGTGGCATATCTCGTAATCTGGTGATTGGAATTTATACCATTCAATTCATCTCATCAAAGCGTATAAAATTCATCCAATTCTGATCACTAGATCACGAGATATTATTATTTATGCAAAGTATATAGCAGATTTGAATCTGATTGGCTAACAATATCACTCTTATCATATAAATTCAATTGTCCAGGACGTTATCATTATAGCGGATATGTTCGGGGTGCCCCGTCCCCTGTCCCTATAACAACACTGTAACGATTCATTAGTTCATGTACTTTAATGGTTAATTTTAGACTAGGTGAACCAGTTTTAATAATCCGAGTTTATCACATCAATTTATCCAATTAAATTTGGATAAATTTTGATAAATTCTAGAATATTCCAAAATTTGAGCCTCTATTTTAAACTTTTAATTAAATGCTATGTTTAGACTACATCTACGTGAATAAGACATCTACGTGAATAAAAATAATAAGAAATGGATTACTTATCTTAGACTAAATAAATGCGAATAAAAATCATTTAATCACCTATATAGATATAAATTAGGTTTGAAAAATTACTTATGCTCAATCAAAGTGAATAATACAATTTAAGGGGGATAAATGATCAACGACATTTTATAATAAATCACGGTGGGTATTTAATATTAAAATTTACTGATAGCTGGAATGGGAGATGATTTCTCATTGCGAATGGCAAATCTACTGTAAAATTGGTAAACACGATCAAAATAAATTTAAAAATTCGCTTCAAACTTTATAGATAAAATTGGGCTTCAAACATTCGAATTTATTATGTTGCGTATTACGTACGTAATTAAAGGTGGGAACATATAATATCGTTGGATATTATCGAAAAGGACGAAAATTAATTTTTTTGATATCCGTAATAAATATGGTTGGAACATTTGTACGTATTCATTATATGCGGAATCGTTCCGATTCAGAATCGGGCTGCCCCGGATGGGAATCTTATGGATTGTTTTGGCAGAATTAAGAATTAATGATGACTGACGAAATTATTTTCGATATGGCGAATGGTTTTGTCATGACGAAACCTTGGCGGTTGACGAAACCCCTGACGATTGACAAAACCCTGACAATTGACGAAATCTTGACAAATTAATTTATTAATAACATAACGATATAATGTCGACACTTTTTCAACAAGCTTCTTTATGATGACTTCTGAACATGTTAAATCCTTTTGAAGGTACTGTAGTGATATTTTATTAAGAGGTTCATTAGCATATATAAATCTTAAAATTTTCAAAAGTAATGTTATTATAAAGTTTATTAGCTTAATACTGTATAAAATTAAGCTTTACAACTTTACAACAGATAATTGATACCTAATTGGTTAATTTATATATATAGAATTTAATTCAAATATAAAAAAGAAATATCCAATTACCTGTAAATAGCACAGGTGCTAAAAGTTGGCATTTCGATACCCACCGGAACTGCCTCTGAAACTTCCAACCTAAAGGTTTTTGCCCTTGTAGGTTCAAAGTATGGAGGCAAATAGCAGATAAGGGAGGTATTGGGGCTTTAATGCCGATTTGGAAATGGACGTATAGTAAAGGGGTGGGTGGGTTCTGGCTATCGGACTTTCCAAACGGCTCATGCGGGTACTATTTTATTTATTTTCGATATTTGTAGTTTTATTAAGCATTTATTTATATATTATATTTTAAACGTGCAGTACATAAATTGCGCAACCGTTAACGATTTTAAATATATACTAGTATGTAACTTGTCACTTACGCTGGCTGCACAGGAGGAAATCAAAAAAGTTTATATAAATTAACTTTATTTGTGGATTAGTAATGAAAATCCTTCTGTGATCTTGATATAGTGACTGGGGAATTAATACGATATAATAGATCAATTCAATTATATAGCATGAGAGTAAAATCGTGATGGCGCAAAAATTGGGCAGTCCCGTGACTAATTAAACAACAATAATATTAATGAGATCCTAATTTTCATCTAAAAATTAATGGGTGCATCGGGAAAGAATTTTTCTAAATTTTTGTGCCGAAATCTTTTATTAAATAACAAAAGGCTGATCTCCTTTGCGAATTTATGAGTTTTTTGTGATTTCATATGTTTTTCAGCTTTAAGTTTTTACTTGCATTTGTATGTTACACACTGATCTTGATGTACATGCTGCATAACATATTCTTGACCCTCTCGAAATAGTATCCTTCATTTTTTTGAAACCCGATTTGTGATCCAATTTTCATAATTATCGTACGATCTTTTGTATTATCCTCTCATCTCCTAATGTCTAGAAGGGTATTATTCATTCTAGGCCGGTTTTCTTGGATAGTACCTGGGGTAAGCATAGCAGTTTTTAAATCCGATTGGTCAATTACTGAAATGTTCATCACATATACATCGCACATATCATCCGAATTGTTTGTTACGAAAACGAATTGTACAGGGAACCAAATACATATTAAGAAACTACACCTTTCATTCTATATACTGTCAAAATAATCACAAAACGGAGGAATAATCATGAGGGTTAGCTATAGAGCGTTTTTTTTAACTCAGTTGTTACCTATACTATATAAGAATCTCTAAAACAAAAGAAATAGCTTCTTTTTTTCTTGTAGTTAGATCTCTAGTAAGCGAGTTTGTTCTCAAGATTGATAGTATGCTTAGATTATATTTATTAGACAAAGCTTGTATGTTATGATATTGATGAAAGTCAAAACTTGGTTCAGCTATTGTAATCTTAATTCTAATAAATAAAACTAAAAAATTTGTTGAAGATAGGCTTACTTTTATTTGCAATTGTTTATTATTTATTTACAGTATATTAATTTAATTATTTTTTGTTATTATTTATTGTTAACAACTTAGTTTTGATACGAGTTCTTTATAAACGTATCTAATAATTCGTTAAAATTTAAGATATCGATGTTTTTTTTTAAAATATAGCGATAGTCAAATTATATATATGACAATGCCTCTTAGACCAAAGTAATAAATTATTGTAATTATTAAAATTTAAATAAATGTATCTTTTATTCAATTAATGCTGTTATGTACTGTATATTTTTGTGAAATATTTTACTTTGGGTTCGTTTTAGGATAAGTCTACTAGCCAATCAGATCTTGTAAAATCACGAAAGCCCGATATGCTCCTGGGGTACTATATACAACGCTATATGGTAAGCAATAACGATAACGATAACTCTAATTGCATCAAAAAAAGTAACTCTTACTACGGCAAAAAGTACATGACTTTTTTTTTAATTATCTATTTCCGGGGGTCGGTTAAAGTAGAGTACGTATGAAACGACATGTGCGTGGGGCATGTAACTCTATTACACGGATATGCACAAATATGCGATGGTCGTCGACATTGCATAACTCCAGAGAATAAGAAGATATATTGATTGATACGTATATATATATAATTAATTATACTATATAATTTAGACAAAATATTCATAACTAAAGCTGAACATAAGGCATGACGTAAGTAGTGACGTATTGACGTTTATATAGTTTGATTGGAATTGCTCTACCATAGAGTCCTCGCTACGCTTCGGACAAAAAAATCGAATTTATACAAAAATTTTTTATATTTTATAAAATTGTAACCTGAAGTTAGCACTGTAACTTCAAGTGCCTGAAGCTGGCTAAAATTATTAAACAACGGGTAGTGTAATAAACTACCCCTGTATCATCGTTA